GAGCCTGCTGCGTCTGATGATGTGCAATCTTTTCTCTCTCTTCAACTTGTTGAAATCCTTTGGTGGTATCATTTTTGAGTTGTGCAATGGCATCCTCAACTTTGGCAATTCTTTCAGCTTGTTCTTGAAACCTTTTTTTCTGTCGGGCCTGCAACGTCTCTCGGCATACTGGTAGCCGGTTTCATCCCTGTATAGTTGGCCCATGGGTCAGGCATGAGGTTCGACTGCTGCTGTGCTGTGTCCTGAAAGCTGGGTTGCGGACGATTGGATCTCGATGGTTTTGGTCCACTTACAACCGGTGAGATTTTGTTTTGATTTTTTGGCGGCAAAAGCTTCAGCAGTACCGGTCTGGCATTGAATGTATGAATTTCTTGCGGAGCAAGAGTCTGTGCTCCTACTAGCCAGCATGTAGCTCCAAGTGCCTTCAAGGGCTTGAGCGGCCACTTCTTCATTTCTGCCCATTTGCTCAACATATCTCCAGTGCATCCAAAAGGAAGTGGTTCAATCTTGTATAAATGCACGATGTCGAACTGAGTTGGCATATCCCTATTCGGATAGATCACTTTCCATGCTTCCTCAAAGTTTGGATTTTCAAATCTGAGGCCAAGTGAGTTCTTGTTTCTTACCAGTCCCAAACATCCCTTAACCTGGGCGGCTAAGGAGGACAAGTGAGCAATGGTTCCATCAACCCAAATAATCCTGTAATGTTTGGAAATTCTGCCGTCTTGGCTCTTGGGTGTGATCCAAATGCGGTTAAAACCTGATGCAGCTAAGAGTTCTGGAAGCTTGCATGTTTTCAACGATCCATGGATTTGCAATGAAGACGCATGATGAGGTACTGAAGTGGATCCATTGTGGCGGATGGACTTTCCCCATGTGGCCTCCAATACGTCTGCAAGTCCTTGGTCTTTCAACTGCTGTTTTGTGAAATTGAATGGATTGTCCAAGATCTGAGTCCAATTCTCGTTGCTCCAATCATCTTTCCAGTAAGTCACTGAAATAGTTGTGCATTCTTGTTCGGCGATTGGTGCATGTTGAGAAGATTGCAATTTGACTTTTTTGTCTCCAAGCTGGACTAGCATGCATTTGAGGATTACCGGTCTATTTCCTCTGTCAAAGCATGGCAAGTGAATGACTTCATGTTCCAGGCTTGTGTTCAACGTGTGTTCACCTACAACTAGTAGGGCATGTTCATCTTGTGAAATCTTGGCTGATTCCTCAATCCACTGGACTGCTTGATGGAAGTTGATGAGGACAACACCTGATCCCTGCCTTCGCACTTGTTGTACTTGAGTAGCATCGGTTGAATCCTCGTTCAGCAAAAATCCAGGTTGCACTCTGTAGTCTTCAGGTTGGATTTGGACTACCTGTCTTTTTTTCTTTTGGGCGTGATCTGTTTTGGATGCTTGGATTGCATCCTTTGTCAATTTGTCAGGGATCACAATGGCACAATCTTGGCAAAGGCTGATGATTGCGTCTGATCTTTGCTTTCCTGGTGGCATTTGTGCAACAACAGTGGCTTTTTTCCCTGCGTTATCAACCAGGGTTTCAGTTGTCTTTGACACCCATTCAAATTGATATCCCAGTTCCAACAGCGTAGCAGCAATTGAGTTTCGGGTGTGGATTTTGATTGCTTCTTTTGTGCCTGCCCCGCCTGTCATCTGCAAAACTGCATGAATGGTCAAACTACCGCTCATGTTCTTTGTGAGTTCTGCCACTGAGATGTTACAGCATTGTTTACCCATGGCAACCAATCTGATCTCTTTTCCCATCAATGAAGGCCATTGTGCAACCTGCAACAAGGATGAAATCACCAGCATGTTTGTCATTGGGTCGATCTTTCCTGTCCACAAAGGTTTACAAAACCACTTGATCGTTGTGTCAATTCCTCTTTTTGCTTGCATTGCATCTAAGACCCTCCTACTGGCAAGGACAGAAAGACACTCGGCAAATGTTTGAGGTGGCATGACAAACTGGCCCGCTATCGCTTTATACACGATCTTGGACGAATGCTCGGATGCTTCTACTTGAATGTTCAGTGTCAACTTACGTTGACATTCGGATGTGCAAACGGATGCCCAAAAATCGGAAAGGATCTGGCGTGATGCAGGTGGTCCATGAATTTCGATGACATACTCAAATTTTTCTGCGTCAAATTTGAAAGCCATCTGGGTTCCCTGGAAAGCAGCAAGAATGAATGCTGCATCAACTGTGAGTGGTCGATGTGATAGTTGAAAATCTGCGATCAACCATGCTTCATTGATTTTTTGTCCATCCACGATTTCACCATATTGATCAAAACCCAAATTGGACATTCCTTTTTGTCGCAGTTGATCTTTCAGTTCATCAGTATTATTGAAACAACACAAGATCACATTTCCCTCATGAAAACAAGGAACAACATGTTTTCCATCATTTTCATCATCAAACATGATGTCCTCAGTTGTTGTGATCAGCATGGAGCATCCATCAGGTTGTGGAGGCAAATGTTGTACCTCAAATCGACGACCAAAGTGTCTTTCGATGTCCACCACGGAAACTTCGTGATCAATCCAGAAAGAAAAATTCTTGGTACCCATCACCGCCTTCACTTTGATCAAAGGATTGATTGGCAACGTTGGAGAGATATGCATCTCTTCACATTCGGTTCCTTCTGAGACTGGTGACATTGTTGCATTTTCAGAGATTCTACTCCAGTCATCTTCGGCCATGAAAGTATCAATATGCATGAGTCCATCATCTGGTGACCACACATGATTTTCAGGGAGCCAAAATTGATGGCTACCTTCACAGAGTTCGTCGTAGTTCTTGAGTCTGTGCATCCAAACTTCTCTTGACCAGTCTGAGTTTGCACCTACGATTCCACGCTTTCCTTGAGAAATCGACATTTCATCAGTCTTCAATTTTTTTCCATGCATGTTCATGAAAAGGTCATGTATGTCGATCTTCGGGTGCATGATTTCCAATTGGTTCAATGCATTCGCAAGAGTCAAAATGGCGTGTGGAAATGTGATCTGGTTGCCTAAATGCGTCCATGCCTGGTGTAAGTCTTTGGAAACGAAAATCTTGGAGTGAATCAGGTGCACGAGACCTACTTCAATCGGATGCATTAGGCGAATGCGCTGCTCTTGGTCGATGACAAAACTACCAAAATAGCCCTTGTCCTCCATGTTGTGCCTGGCAATCAAATGTTGTTGGCCATATTTGGCCATGATGGTTGGTGCAACTTCGTTGGCATCATGGCATCTACTGCGAAGGATCTCGTCACCACTTGCATTCCATAATTTCTGTTTCATATTTGGTGGGAGGAGTGTTGCATCTTTGGCGCATGAAATCATGAGCTGAGACGGGATCAAGGAGTCAAGTTGTGGTACATCTCTACCAAACAAGGCACCAATTTTTGCTGGCGTCAGTTGATCAATCTTTGGCCAAGTGGAGCATTCAACTTCAGAAACTCCCATTGCATGGTTTCTGATCATAATAGCTATCCAACGTAGTCTTTTGGCACATCCCCATTCGCTACTGTCTACAACTCTTGCCCATTTCAGATGAAAACACACTGCCTTCATCGTTGCCAAACAGAATTGTTTGTGCGCATGCGTGGAAAAACCGTTCACCTGCTCAACAAGGCACAGTTTTGGTCTCAGAATACGGTTCAGCAAGAGCGAATATGGAAGGAGGCATCCTTGGTCATTTGAGAGTCCTGGTCCACTTGATGCAAATGTCCATGGGGGACAAGGTGATGACACTGTGATAAGATCAACTCTCCATCTTGATACGCACTCCCACCAGCTTTGGCTTTCTACATCCGCATGTAAGACTATGTCTCTGTCAATGCATGAGAGGTCAACTTTGGGAGAACAGTTCATTGCTTCGATAAGTACTGCATCATGCATCATACAGTAGTCTTGGGCTGCTTGCAGGTTTGACTCAATGGAAACTGTTTGGCATCTGATTCCATGTTCTTTCATCAAAAAAGAGATCCCATACTTCCATCCTCCAAAACCTCCTGCAAACGTCTCTAAACAGTGGAATGCATCCAGTCCTTGCTCTTGGATTGGGATGTAGATACTGTCAGCATCATATATCCAGTCCGGTTTGTCAGGTCTCAAATAGTCAATTCCGTCTGCCACATTCCAAAGCAAAACCTTGGAATCAACCTCATGAAATGGTGGAATCACATCGCAAACCACTGTAACCCTGTCTCCAAAATGCTTGTCTTGAAAACGTGGGAAACATCCATGCATGTACAATTCACATGAGGCTCCTTCACAACACGTTGGAATACCATGAATGAGTCTGGAATCTTCTTTTTTCTCATATGTGATTTCATCCAGCAAGATGTTGTATCTCGGTCTGACCAATCTGTTTCCTTGCATTCCGTAGATCTCAAAATCAGAAAGCATATGCTTCAGCTTTGATGGCACTTCCCAAAGAGATGTCATGGCTCGATTGGCTTCACGATCATTGGAAGACGGATCCCACCACTAGAAGGTTCGAGCCTAAGGTCCCCCTGAATTAAGGCCATGTTGGGATGATTCCCCTTACTAACTATGATTATAGTGAGGTCGCAGTGAGGTCGTTATAATTTACCCAGATTAATGACCATCCTCCCAACACGGGTCAATCTAATCCAACAACTTGACCATGGCACCATGAGTTGACCGTGATTTTTATGGATCTCAAGGGTTGCCTTTTGGGTCGACAAAAAGAGCATGTATAATATGACTATAATATGGCTATAATATGCTATAATATGGATATATGGAATGACCAACTGAACCCAATCAACCACAGAAAACATATATGGTTCTTGGGTCAACAATCTACCGGTAGGTAATGGCAACTACTGTAATCAGTGGTTTGGATGGCAATGATTGCGAATTCCTGAGAGAGAAAATGTGCTTGAACTCTCTCACAAGGCAAATTCGAGGTACTTGAACAAACGTACTGTATCCAAAGCTGGGGCTGATCCAATCCCGGATCATACCCATCTGCAATCAGTTTGGATATCGTGGGAACTTGGCAAGGTTGTACCTGCTTCCATCCAGAAAAGTTGGAGTTTCTTGCTTTGAGCGTTTGATTCTCTCTGTTTGATAAAGGTACTGGTATCTCCTTATCCAGAAACAAGCAACGACTTCTTGACGAAGTATCCGTGGTCAAGAAAGGATGCCGGTTATTGTTCCTTGAGATGTATTTCTGTGATAGCCGCTTCTGGAATGTGCTGTGTCAGTTCATGAAATATAAAATGGACCGGCGAAAGGCCTTCAGCCCATCCATGTCTGATGGGAAATTCGCACACTAGCTCGCGAAAGGACTTGGAATCCCCAAATCATGACTTCCGTACTGAAATGGCTATGTTTGTTTTTGTTTGCTCTCGTGTTTTGCATGGTTCTTTGTGTTTGGGAAGAGTTGGCTATGGTTCCATATATCAAAATTGTTGGGCCGAAAGTGCTTAATTTGTAATCCCATCCCCCCTAATATCATGTGCCACAAAAAAATCCAACATAATCCAATAGTAAGCCAATGTTTCAATTCATATCGAGCGATATTTTGATATATATATATATATATTATATATTATATATATATGGTTTACATTGGAAAGGTGGTGTTACATGTTGTTACACTACCTGCGTTATTTCCTTTAAAGGGTACCGTCCCATGGCCTGGGTCACGTTCACGGAATCGGTGGCTGGTGGAGGATCCACTCCGATGTCGCATTCCTCGCCGCAAATCGCCGCACGATGGTGAGGCGAAACACTGGGCGAAGTGGTGGGTTTATGAGGGATTTTAAACCAATTAATATGGTGTAATTATATGATGACATATAAAAACAATAGGATTTTATAGTGATTTAATCTGATTTAATGGGATATGAATGGGATATATCCTCTGTTAATTTAACATAGCTATTGAAAATGGCCATAGAAATAGTGGATTTACCCATTGAAAATGGCGCTTTTCCATAGTTATGTTAGTTTACCAGAGGGTAAGGGGGATTGATGAACTTATATCTGGGTGGGGTGATGAAGGATCAATATAACTAAATATATCCAATTCTAGTATTCATCGGGGATTTATACACCAGCTTATCTCTGGGTCGGGGCCACCTTGTACAAAATCAGACAACGCTTTTGACAGATATGCCATACCCACACTACTTGATATGTACCAAAGTGAGGTCCCTTCAAAGGAGTTGCAAGCTCAGTACTTGAATGGGCCGTAAAAGTCAATTCTATAAGCCTAGTCTGTTGATGTTCCTTGAAATAGTTCTCAATCTGAACAGGTACAGAACAAGAGAAATCTGAAAAAACTGCAGCCAAATTCATTAACAAGATCGCTCCGAGATAAATCACTACATGCATGAAGGTTTATTCAAAAATGACATCCAGAGTGACATAATACCGGCAAATTCACACAGACATCATTGGCTGAACTGGAAGAATTCACTAACCTGAAATAGCTGGAACTTGAGGCCATCTGGAGATGATTCCCCCATAAACCAGTTTTTATTTATATAATACACATCCATAGGTCACGTCCAAGAAAACAATCATATGAAACAAATAATATAATTATCTATTTATATATGGAAACCCAGTATTATATAATATAAATATTTATTTATAATATAATTATCTAATATAATAATAAAATTATCTATGTAACAATCATATATATATATATATCCGCTTACAGGATTTATGTGGAATTTATGTGGAAACCCAGTATTGGTTCCACAGGAAACTATCTTCAACTGCTTGGTTTTTCACGATCTCTGAGGTCAGAACCAGCTGCCACAAATGTGCCTGTGCCCGGTCCAAAAAGATGCAGCTCTGGGTTTGAAACTGTGGGCTCTCTGGTGTATAGTACCGGTATACTCAAATAGAGAGTTGTTAGGCTCAATTATCCCTTTCTGTTTTAAAACTACTTTAGATCAATTTTACTCACACAATGATTGATTTCATGGGATTTAGAGATTGAACCCTTCATCGTTCAACGTGAATAAAATGACTGAATCGACAGAAAGGACATCTTACAAGACCCCTCGACCATGAAATTGTGGGTTTTCCTCCAGTATATCCTTCAAGAGCATTTTTGACATCATGGTCCATTTTATACAAACATGTATGGTCTTAGAAATGTAGATTGTTGCCCTCGTTTTATTTCTTATGGTTGGACTGGCCTCACTACAGATTGGATGCAATTCAATATATTTCTCTGCGGGTTTCTCTCCTGAAATGTACTGTAATGCTATTTTCAAAGACAGAGGAACAGGCCGTGCATTAAAACTGTTCACATCAAAGTAACTGCTTGATTGGGATCGTCATCCCCCCGAACATATGTAGAAGAAACGCCGGATTACTTTTTATCTCTGGTTGTGTGAGTAATTCCGCGATTCATAAATATAGTCATGGGCAGCAAAGCAAAGATCCATGAGATATGAAAATAGACATATCACAAATATCAACAACTCAAATGTGTAACATCCATATGTTATCTCATTTTATCTCGTCATTAATCTCGTCCCAATCCGGCCTTGCCACCGGCATAGGAACTGATGTTCAGAAACATCAAGCTCTCTGGATTGCCAATGAGCTGTGGCCTAAGCCAGCCATCGTTTGGGAGAATTCGAGAATCTGCTTGGTGTAGACTTTAGACAACAAACTTAATGTTTTCAATGATAACAACAACATCAGAAACTAATAATCATGTTGGATCTATCTATCTATATAGTTTAATCTAATCTTATCTAGTCTTGTCTAATCTTCTCTAATATTCTCTAATCTAATCTATCTAATCTATCTAATCTATCTAATCTATCTAAATATATATAATCTATCTAATCTATCTAGCCTATCTAATTTATCTAATCTATCTAATCTATCTAATCTATCTATTCATCTATCCATCTATCTGTCTGTCTGTCTATCTGTCTATCTATCTATCTATCTAGCTTATCTATATTTATCTATAGTTATCTATATTTATCTATATTTATCTATATCATCTATCTCATCTAGCTTATCAACCTTATCTATATGATACATCTTATCTATCTTATCTATTGTATCTATCTTATCTAGCTTACCTATATTATCTATATTGTATACCTTATCAAACTTTATCGATCTTCTCCATATTATCCATCGTATATATCTTGTCTATCTTATCAATCGTATATATCTCATTTACCTTATATATATATATATATGATCTGTCTTATCTATCTTATCTGTCTTGTCTATCTTATCTATCGTATATATCTTCTCTATATTATCTATATTATCTATATCATGTGTCTTATCTACCTTCTCTATATGTTTCTATATTTTCTAACTTATCTACCTTATCTATCTTATGTATCGTATCTATCTTATCTATCTCATCTATCGTTTCTATCTTATCTATCCTATCTATCTTATCTATCTTATCTATCGTATCTATCTTATCTACCTGATCTATGTTATCTATCTTATCGATCTTACCTATCTTATCTATCGATCTATCCATCTATCGATCTATCGATCTATCCATCTATCCATCTATCCATCTACCTATCTATCCATCTATCTATCTATCGTTTGATCTATCTATCTATCTACCTACCTAACTATCTATCTATCTAGCTATCTACCTATCTATCTATCTATCTATATATATATATACTATATATGTATATATTGGTTTATATTGGTATAACAATCGCACACAGTTTATTATTAGCCCAGTCATATTCCCCAAGGGTCTATCTCGAACACAGCTCTCCGGTGACGTGTGGCCCGGACTCTCCTAAGTCGCCCTCGCTATCCATAATCAACGACCTGAAGTGACCAGCGCCATGGCGAATATGCTAGACCCTAACAGGTCCTAACAGCAGGGGTTTAACCAAACAAAAACAAAAACAAAAAAAACCTGAAACAATTACTCTTACCCTCCACTCACATGAAGTAACAACTTCTGTGTCACAAATTGATCCTCCTGTGTGTTGCACCATGGGTTTTTCATATCTATATCGTCCATAGATTTGTTTGCAAACTTTGATGTGCAGCCGGACACAGCAACTCGGCAGATTGCTTGTATATTCCTAGTCCTTTGTTAGATATACTGTACATAGATCGGGGCAGGGATACCGGCGGGACTTTATACCCAGGTTGGGGTGGGTGGGTCACTGCTGTGTGGTCGGATCTCCAAAGGGATATCCGTTGTTCGAATCAAACGTCTGGAGAATGTCAATATATATATATATATATGTGTATTATATATATAATATATAATAATATATGTATATATGATATATGCAAAATCACTCTGACCGGTATAGACTAATCTAAATTTATGAGTCATCAGACCGAAATTATGAAGTCTTGTTGAAGTTCTGGGTGCGAAATTGGGTGTAAGCAGAATCTGGCTTTCTCACAGGATTTCATGCACTTGAGCAAATGTGATGACTGATCCCGATCCCATTACAAGATATTGCAATTGGTACTGGTGCGAGGCCATACCAACTGACACCTTTTGATCTTGTAAATGCGCACAACAAACATCATTCAATCAGAACAACAAAAAAATGCCTCTAGCCACAAGATACCTTTCTCATCTTGCCTATGCATAGCTAGTCTTCAATATGCCTAACAAACAAGATAGGATATCGTAACCCCTCCAAGTTGCAGATCAGGATGAAACGACGATTCAATCAAGCCAAGGTTCCTTTGAACTTTGATACAATATACTACAATGCAGACCGGACAGGAATCAGTGTATGACTGAGTTACCTGGCCCATTCTTGTCTCTACCGTGATACAAGTTCGCCACGATGTTGCCAATATGTTGCACGCCCCAACACCTGCGTCCAAGTGGAAAGCCCTGGCGATCTCTTTTGGGAGGTGTCATGTTATGTCAACACTGCCCTTCATGAGTTGAAATAATGTACTTGACTGTCCAAAGAAAACTAAACCAACTAAAACAAACAATGTCGGATCCGAGGTTACCTTACCCATACCTAAATTCCAACATAGAACATACATACCCGGACCTGTATACGCAGCTTTAATAACTTTAGTATTTCCAATTTGTTTTCACCTCATTTCCTGCCTGAACAGTACGCTTGGCAACTTATGTCCTTCATAAACATTGCTGTCCCAAAGTTCAAACTCAGTATTATCAAGTTGGCCATTTGTGTGTAGTTCAGAACCCTGCCAGCCCAAAATCCCAAAAACCAAACATCTGAGAAACAAATGAACAGACATGAACAAACTACATATTGATCATATTGGATAGGATTTCCCTTTCTTTAATCTTCGGCTATGATGTTGATTCTAATCAATCACCACACGAGCATGGCCTCAACTCTTGCAAGCAGCCAGCTGCACCTGGGTACCACACTGAGGTGTCACCGATGACGTCTCAGCCTATGTGGGGTGCCTTCATTTAGACATGAGCCATTTTGGAGCCCTATATATACCAAAAGCGAATGGTTCCGATTCCATCCGATTCCTAGGATGACTATAGTTTGCACACCTTTTGGTTGATTTCAAAGTATCTTTGAGTGTAATGAAATACATATATATATATATGTAGTGTAATGTGGGATCCGCAAAAATTAAACCATCCCCGAATTTTCAGGCACTGCGTCACCGTCGGGTCTTGCAAAGCTCTCTCTGTCTGGCTGGTAAATATTCACGTTCACTCTTACATTAACATTCAGATTCACATTCACATTCAGGTTCACATGTTCATTAAGATTCACCTTGATATTCACATTAACAGACAACGACAACAACAACAACACCAACTCTAACAGAAAGAGCAACAAAGCGGAACTGTACCTTATTATTTGTGGATTGAATGCTGGAAACAGGGGTAGAACTTGAAGACCCACCAACATCACCACGAATCTTGCTCGTCTTGGAGTTAAACTTCATCTCAGTATCTGTGTGTTTTCCGCACTTCTTAATATGTTCAGCTTGTGATCACCCATTTTTTTCATCCAAAAGCGTCGCGCACCATGTGTTGAACTCATTCTCTGTCTCTTGGTCGTCAGTTTGATCCAACATGTGGATCCCTCTCTTCGAAAAAAAACATGCCTAGAGAGATGCGATATTTTGAGCCACATGTTGAGGCAACCCTTGCCCCCAACGCGCAACATCTTCTTACATTGCCACGTGTTTATAAACCGTGGAAAAAAATGGCTACAGAGCCTGCGAATGCAGGAAACTCAACTGAACCGTTGCATGAGGCTCCGCAGTCTCTCCATCTTGAGGCACGTCACTCGAATAACATCATGATCAATGAGACATGTGGGTACGTACCCCAAAATTCAGTGGATTGCAACCTTTGTTTCCCTATAAAAAGGCCCTAGATTGGGTGTACCCGTACACCATGGTACACACCATTTTCACGACAAACCACGCTGTGACTGCGGTCGCCACCATGTCCCATCCCACTGTTAGGCCCACGGTCATCGTGCCGAAGAGCCGTAAACAAAGAGGTTGCAGGTCTGGCTCTTGGTTCGATGTTTGTCAAAGTGCATTCCGACCTCCAAACAAGGCCCAACAAAAACCAAAGGATGCAAAATGTGCAAGTTCATGCAAATTTGGTTGTTCTTTTCAAGGTCATCCAAAATCTCTGATCAAAGAAATCGGACAATGAATCAACAGAGTGTTCTCGTTGATCCCGCATGGCCATGGGAGCGATATGCGGATAAAATCGGGAGACGTTCCATTGCCAGGTCGGTAAGAAAGCAATTAAGATGGGTGAATCATCAAAACCATCTGTACCGTAGCCAGCATAGCGGTAAGTTCGGCCGAATCAAACAAGACCCATGGTTTCACATTCAGTGAGTTTTTCCATCCATAGTGGGAGGAGGGGCACCCAACAAAATACATCTGGTAAACAAGTATGACGTGCTGGAAGACCCACCAGACATGGGGGTGTCCATCATTGGGGGTACCCCAAACTGGATGGTTTATTATGGAAAATCCTAGAAAAAAAAAGGTGTAATTACCACCATTTTGGGAAACCTCCAAATGAGATGTCTCTTTGCGAGATGAAATTCCCGCAGGCTAGTCCCTGAATATTTGCTGGGACCTCATACTGTACCCATGTTGGCAGGTAAAACCCAAGACCCCTTGATTACACGAGACTTTCAGTGTCCCCGCGAACCCAATCGAACCGCACGAACCGAACCGACATGAACCGTAGCAGGTCCGAACCGAACCGAACCGAACCGCAGCATGAACCGAAACGGGGAACCGATCGGCAATTGCAATGCTTGTCGCGCAAGTGCCAAGTGCTTATGTTCAACACGAACCCCAAGCGAAGAGACATTGGCGATGTAGCCTCGGATGCCGGGAAGGGTGTTGCAAATCTCGGCCAGTGCTGCAATGGTGGAGAACTTGCCCCAAAGTGACCAGGCAACACCAATCGCACTGTGCTTGACATCTGAGGCTTTAAGCGAAATGGCAACTTGATTGGCCGGTAGCTGCAGCTCGTCGATGTGTGCAGGCTCAAGGCCTTTCTCTTCTGCAGTGGACTCCAAGCGAGGCCTTTGTGCTGTGTCGCCAATGATCATATATGAGTATGAGCTATTTTGTTTCACGGTCGACCTTTCTGCAAGTAAATGTCACATAATTCGCATATGGTAGAGGACAGTTAAAACCTTCATGAAAACCACTATACTCTGGAAAAAAATGGTTTGGAGATAGCACGGGTTTGCTGAAACATGCATATTTCAATAAACAACATTAAAAAACATCATTATTGTTTGCTATGATTTCTTTGGTATTCTTTCCCACCCAGGAGATGGGACAAGTATGGGACAGAAAATAGTAATTCCAGAAACATGTGGTTTGGTCAAGACTGCCCCAGAACAGCATTACTTCCAAGTCAGAGCAAAACAGCTTTGAACAGAACCGCTTTTGTGTTTCCAGTATGTGGTTTGGCCAAGGGCCCAGAACGGTATTACTTCCAAGGCCAGCAACAGAACCGGTATTAAGACTTCTTCAAGCCAAAACAGCTTTGAACAGAACCGCTTTTGTGTTTCCAGTATGTGGTTTGGCCAAGGCTGGCCCAGAACGGTATTACTTCCAAGCCAAGGCAAGCAGCTTTAAGAACAGAACCGCTTTTGCGTTACCAGTATGTTGTTTGGCCAAGACTGGCCCAGAACGGTCTTACTTCACAGTCAGAGCAAAACAGCTTTGAACAGAACCGTTTTTGTGTTTCCAGTGGCGTTTAAAGTAATTCCAGAAACATGTGGTTTGGTCAAGACTGGCCCACAACGGTACTACTTCCAAGTCAGGGCACAACAGCTTTGAATAGAACCGTTTTTGTGCTTCCAGCGGCGTTGGAAGTAATTCCGGAAACATGTGGTTTGGCCAAGACTGGCCCAGAACCGGTATTGCTCCCAAGTCAGAGCAAGCAGCTTTGAACAGAACCGCTTTTGTGTTTCCAGTGGCGTTTAAAGTGATTCCCAAAAAATGTGCTTTTGCCAAGACTGGCCCAGAACGGTATTACTTCCAAGTCAGAGCAAAACAGCTTTGAACAGAACCGTTTTTGTGTTTTCAGTGGCGTTAATAAAGGAAATTCCAGAAACATGTGGTTTGGCCAAGACTGGCCCAGAACCGGTATTACTTTCAAGTCAGAGCAAGCAGCTTTGAACAGAACCGCTTTTGTGTTTCCAGTGACGTTGAAAAGTAATTCCAAAAAAATGAGGTTTTGCCAAGACTGGCCCAGAACGGTATTACTTCCAAGCCAAGGCAAGCAGCTTTAAGAACAGAACCGCTTTTGTGTTTCCAGTGGCGTTTAAAAGTAATTCCCAAAAAATGTGGTTTTGCCAAAAACTAGCCCAGACCGATATTACTTCCAAGTTCAAGCAAGCAGCTTTGAACAGAACCGCTTTTGTGTTTCCAGTGGCGTTTAAAGTGATTCCCAAAAAATGTGCTTTTGCCAAGACTGGCCCAGAACGGTATTACTTCCAAGTCACAGCAAAAAATCCACAGCTTTGACTTTGAATAGAACTGTTTTTTGTGTCCCAAGTTACACTTTAAACTATGTAATTAAACGGGTGCTCAGACTCACTGATTAGCACAGGGCACGAATTGCAGTGAAATAAACCGTCCACTGGAACTGCGTTTACGAACCGTCCCACGGTTCCTGTGTGACTTTGCGAACCTACACGAACCCAAGCGAACAGCGGGATCCCGGGACTTTGCTGGAAATGCTGTGATCATGATCCTGCTTGGCAAATGCTTAGCAACCCTGGCCAGCCTCCAATCTGCAGTAATTACCCCTTTTGATTTCAGTGGGATAGTGTGATTCGTTCCACGGTTTTTTTCTCTGGAAATGGGGCCCCCTTGGTCCCTGAAACCCGGGACTCAAATCTTGAGTGTCGATGCAGAGGTGTTCACCAACGATCTTAGAGATGTTCCCAGTTTGATGAATCCCAATGCATTTCTCTGAGGCTGCCCTTGAAAAAAGGTTGTTGATCATCAATCCCCGAGCTCAATGGAGCTTTGTAGCTGGGAATATCGTTAATTTTAAATAGTGGATTTTCCAGCTAGACATGTTTGATGACAGCGGAGAATATATCCTTATCTATATATATATATAACACTATATCACTTAACCATCATTATTAGCCATCATTATACCATGAAAATCCGTTCTTTCCTGCGTTATACCATCATTTTGGCTGGTGGAGTTCCCATGGTTGATAATTAAATCATGTTAACTCACCATGATTTCCATATGAGTACCCATGATTTCCCATGTTTGATGGTTGAATCACCATGATTTCCCCGTTACATCAAATATCCATTCTTTCCCCATGATTATCCCAGCTTTTCAAACACCAAATGATAGCGCCCCACCCGAAACGGCCTGTGACTCTTGACCTTGGCGGCGTGGTTCTAGCTTGCAGCCCAGGCAGATTATGGGCGCGTTATGGTCTCAGAATTGGGCAAAACATGGTACTGTAGCACCATGTAATCAAGTCAAAGTGTCATTTATGCATTCATTTATATATATATATATAAATTATATTATAATAAGCAAGTATATATAAATATTATATATATATGTATAATATTCATGTATATATTATGGCAATTATATAGGGGAAATGGTGATGACCCATTGGGATTTCAAGGCATTTCTTTTTGAAACCATGACAAAATGCCTTGAAATTCGCAGCTGCTTCCCTGAGGTTGACCACTTGAGGAATCCATGATGTTTCTAGTGAAAACAAAAGAAACCACTCGTGTAATCCCAGGGAACTACATGAGCACGTTGTAAAAACTCAAGATAGTCAAAGTATGATATTTCCAAGAGTTGTTCAGCATGTCGTTACCATATCCTAATCAAGCTGTCTTTTGTGGGTTTCGGATGATATCCTCGACATTCCTCAAGCTATCCGAAACCTGGTCACTGCCGGGCCACCAATGGAAAAGTAATTCACCATGTGGAAGGTCTTGCTGGTCACATGCAAATCCTCCTCCACCTGTCGAGGCGACGAGGATCGGCAACCAGGAAATGTCCATGGAGAGAAATCACTTTGGACTGACTGGTCGACCTATCTGGGACCCCTAGCTGGTCAACAAAACAAAACGGGCAGCCGCGCCTGCGTCTTTCCCATCTTCAACAACTTACCCTGAGATTCATCCAAATTCACGGACACCTGCCAGGGCTCCATCAGGATGATTATGATGATTAAATATGAATCACAATTATAATTATCTTTGATAGTCATCATTTGTGATGATAATACTTATTATATTGTTATATGGCAAGAAAATGTAATGATAAAACACATTCTTAAAAAAAAACAACAACTGAAGGTGATGGTCGTGGTGGTGGTGATGATGATGAAGATGATGAAGATGACGGCGACGACAACGACGACGACGCCGACGCCCAGCATAACCATGCAACCAACAATTACTTGGCTTTTTGAAGTCGGCCAATCGTTGCCGTATACGCAGGTCACAGGGGATCCTCGATCACAAGTAATAATAGTAATTCTATATACAAACACACATATAATAGGAGTTTATAAACATTAGACTCAGATGTCACAGTTCAAGTCTTCGGCAGTACAAAGCAATGTAGGCATTTTGATCCGTAGTGAATTGCCAAAAGATGCCAAAAGCGTATAAATGTGGATAGTTCCCGAATTTGACCATCTCCATATTGTTGCTATTTGGAGCTTGGCTGCTGCATGCCGCTACTTTAGGGTTTGTTTTCATCAGTTAGGGGTCCAACATCAACCAACCGGAGCTGACAATATAATCAGCAGTATGTTAGTATATTATAATTAGTGCATGTACACCCATAGGATCCATGTATGGTATATATGCTAACATTTGGGGTATATTGATGGTAAATGTTAGCATATATACCATACATGGATCCTATGGGACATGTGTTGGACACTTTTCAGCTTAATTAGCTGTCAATGGGTCCAATCTCACTAAAAACAAACCATCTTGATCACGGAAAATAGATCGTAGACACCTTTTCTGCCAGGCACCAGAAAACCACATTAGAATATATATGTTTCCAACAAACAAAAACATTTGAGGCACTGTGGCCTCCGGTATCCTCCCACGGAGTCTCCTTCCCAGCATTTTGATGCATTTTGGGTGATACCAATGACTGGACCCAAACCAGTGTCTGTGCGTTTTCGCCCGACGGAATGCACATTTTTCTTTGAAAAGTAGTTACCCTAAGAACCAATGGTAGATCATCATAGTTTTGACTGACACTAGCGTTTTATGGCCATTCTTCATGTTAATACCAATTCCTATGAATCAGCAAAATTCCTGGGGACATATAGACTGTGTTCTCTCAGATACAGCCACATTGGGTAGGGATCAAAACCTGATACCCTTCTCTTTCACACTAAAATAGCTGGGATATATGGATGTTCAACCCCCCATTCATGCGGAAAATCATAGGCTTTTGACATGTTTTGGACCCCAAACACGGGCCAACGAAAAGGCCTCCCAGACGTCGTGATGTCGGATTTTTGCCACAGACCACTGTTTCACCTCAGAGCCGCGGAGCATCTCATGATCGGTGACGATCAAAGTGATTGGTACGACAACTTGGGAGTGACGAGTATAACTTATATATATATGTATATACATCATCCATATGGATATATTGTATGGTTATATGGCAATAATATTATTCATGTGGGTATAGATCCCTATAGACTAACATAGATGTGGGAAATCAATGAACATCAACCATGTGTAGACAATTTTCCTGGGATTTCCCCATGGGTTTTCCACATCAGTCCACATCTATTTTAGTTTGTATGCCCTAGGGTAACCAAATAAAATGGATTCAATTGATGCCATTAAAATGGTCGAATTGGGAAGAACATACCGCATCAATTCACAACAATGGCGATTGATTCCAGTCAGTAAGTGTTTAAACAGGAAAAAAAACAAAACAAATGGTACCCTCTGGTAATTTAACATAGCTATTGAAAATGGTGATTTATAGTGGATTTTCCCCTTAAAAAAGGTGATTTTCCATAGCTATGTTAAATTACCAGGGGGTATACTACCAGCCAACACTGGGGATAGAACATGGGAAAAAACCAAGAAAATTGTATAGCTTTGGTGACGTTCTAGTATTGTAAGCATGGCGACCTAGCAAACAATGTCCAATTGACCTTGCTATTGGCTCAAAAAAAAGGCATCGCCTAACAAACCCTCCAAATTGATTTGTTTATTCCTAAATCAACAAATTGTGATAGGATAGTAGATTCGCTTAATATAAATAAACCTTGAGGGGGTTAAACCAACTGCTCTATCAATCATCCTCATCATCAAAATCCTCCAAACCAACGAATAACCATTGGTTGATCGTCATGAGATATTCTTCGCGCTTTTCTGAGACCCAAACCAGGTCCTTCAGTAGCGCGAAGTTGTTGTCGCTGACGCCCTCAGGATTGTCTCCACCTGAGCACAGCATGGGTCCCAACCGCCCCCGAAGGCATTTCACCCTTTGGGCATGGGTCAGGTCGGTGCCTGTTTGGACCCACAAATGACTGGTCACTTTAGGACATTAACCCATCAGAACCTATCGATTGCCAGGTCGTTGAAGATTGTACCGCGTCACATCCACTAGCCATTCAGAGCTCACCGGAGAGCATAGCCAATATGTCGAAGAGTAAAGTAACCCCAAATCCAGTGGTTTGTCATTGTCCAAGAGGTTTCCTAAACTGGGGGTACCCCTAAATCATCCATTTAAATGGGATGTTCCATTATAAATCCATGTTGGGGTACCTATTTATGGAAACCCCCAAACTCTCCCTCTTTTGTTCTCCACCATATCTGGCAAAACCAAGATCCAACAGTCTAATATTCCCTAGCGACTCTATTCGTGAAGATCTTCTGAGAAGGGTTTGTGGATAACGCTTTGTGCCAGTGACATATAGAAAGGGAGCATTCGCGTGGCCAAGTGCCTTGACATCCAGTCAGCCAGATTGCTCGGTGAACGCTTATATTTCTTTTCGGATGGGTACATGACACAACACCATACGACGATAGAAACATCTGGAGTGACGTAACATTACATACAATGTAGTCATGTTTGCTTTGCATGTTTGACCCTTCATCTTAAAGGCCAACAGATTCAACGGTTGAACACCTCCAAGAAAACACTCCACTTCTGCCCCAAACATGCACATATATGATTTTGCAAAACACATTGTGAAACCTTGGGTCTGCCAAGCCTTCCTTTTATCGGATCAAACGTGAATATAGTTATTAGTTATCCCCAAAAAAGATAAAGCAATCATTTACCACAGCAGGATTTCCCTGTTTTATTTCGGGGAATTACTATAAAATGTACATATTATTATTATTATTATTATATATATATACATGTGTACAAATTTCATATGTTCATATCACATATTAACACATACATATTATATCATCCTACCGAAACCGATCTGGGAATCAGAATGGTTCTTGGTGACCCAACCCCAACCGGCAACTCGGGAAAAGTCGTTGCCGGTGCCCAAGGGCACGATACCCCACCTGAGCCAAGTGGGCTTGGAAGGGTTAGGCTTTGTGTGAACCTCCAGAACTAGATGCGTGATACTTATGGGATATCTATGTGTCATGTAGGATCTATATGGGAGAACTATGGGATATTTCTGTGATAGTTTTGGGAAACTCTTGGGATATTCATGGGACACTTATGGATATTTACGGCCAACAGCATATAAGGCGCCTCAATTGGATGGTTTTTGCTGATAACGGATGCCGACATCTTTCATTTTGGCGGGTGGCAGTTATGATCCAGATCCACATTTCAAGACTTCATCAAACTTTAATATAGAGGTTTCCGAAAACAAAATGTTTTAAAAATGAGGCTTACCCCAAAATCATCCAAGTTATTGGGTACGATCAATGGGAAAATCAATGGTTTGGGGTAGCCAATATTTCAGGAAACCTGCATATGAGCACTTCTGAATGAATAAAGTGTCTCAAATGGAGCTGGAGTGGAATCGAAAGGCTGGATCTAATGTTTTGGAGAACGTGATAGCCGTGGTAGCGGAAGTCTCTGCTGGTTGTATCATGTTAGATCTCCCCATCTCTCCCCCTGATGGTCATCTCTTGAGCCGAGGAGACTCTACTGTGGTGTGCAATTGCCTCCTTTCGAAGATCTGTATCAGATTGACTACGAACCAAAAGATAAACAGAGATGGTGTATATATATATATATAATTATAGTATATTATAGTAAAACGAGGATGTCAAAACATCGAACAATTTGTGCAAGAACGAAAGCAGCTGCTGCATATTATCTGGGATACCGGATACCCCATTTGCTCCGCCTTGTGCGCATTCCCTCATGAAATTCTGCAATTCTCCAGCAATCGATGATATTTGAAGTGGAAAACAATGCAAAATGAATCCCCAATTGTAATCTGAACAACTGCAATTGTATGAACAATGTTGTTTTTGGCCCCAGCAAATTCTTTGGACAACTCTCCAATTCTTCCAACATTTATCACCATGAGAAGATCACGGTCTCATTGAGTGGCCACACGCCACTTGCTTCGGAGTGTCAATGCCATGCTTTTGCGCCTGGTGAAAAGATCACGCTGAACTGGTGGGTTAGTGCAAGATGGTGCCTGATAACTTTACATCACTGGGACTAATGCTATGCATCACTATTAGTTAATGGGGGTTATGAACCGACTTACAGCTGGGGCATCATCTTGTGGGGAGGAATGGAGTCGCAATGCCCGATATCATTGCCCTTCAACTCAAACCTCGAGTGAAGCGTTGGTCAATCTATGGCCGTTTGTAATTTCAACCTGTCAACTCCATTCAAAAACAGCCACTAAGAACCATGGCAGGCACCCCTTTAGGGTGCCTTCCCGCATTTCTAGCACTAAAACATGCTGAAACCCTGGACGTCTGACCATTATTTTGTCAGTGGTGCAGGGGGAAACAAACAGTCAATACCAAATGATCACACCATGATCTTCACAACAAACCAGGTTGTGTTAGCCATAAACATGCAGGTTCAACCTCATGGACATGCTGTCACCAGTCCAACAGCTATGCTTTTCATCTTTTGTTCGCCGGAGAAAACCAAATAAAGATCATGCCAAGCAATTTGGAGACTATGTTGAGAAATTAAGAATCGATAGGTTGCCAGGTGGGTACACCCCCAAAGTGGATGGTTCAACAAAATATCTACAGCATTTGCCATAGTTTGGGCCTTCAATTTTGGGCATACATTCTTCAGGCCCCCAGTTTTCCTCCTTCGTCTATGTTCCCCCATCTAGCTATTTAGTTCGATATTTCCACCGTAAACCCCGCAACTTAATCTATATAGTTATAATAAGATGTTACAAGCCAATTTACCTTCTCATAATTCTCATATGTATATATATATATATACAACATATATACATATATATTATAGAAAACATGGTTGAACATATTTTAGATATTTCTAATTATTTCTAGATATAAATCCAGCTTTTGAAGGCAAGGATCTCCTTTTTCGCCCCTTTCTGCTTGTTAAACCCCCCCCGTGGCTGGGGTCGTAGCATCTCCCACCGCACCGTAGCGCCTCCGAGTCGGCCCACATCACGGTGCCGTCGCCGCCGCCCACCACGGCGCGCACGGGGCTGCCACCGCGGAGGAGGATCGTCTGCGCAGGTGGGCTTCAAGCAGTTGAGAGGTGGTTTATCCCATAATCTATAGGGGTTCAACATGGTTCAACATGGTTCAACATGGTTCAACCAACTAAGGATAACCAAGGTAGTGCAGGATTTTTCTTAGCCATCCACAGGGCGTCATGCTTTCATGGTTCAATGCATTGGTCGGGAAAAATTACAGGAAAGCCCTAGCATAGTTGATGGATTTTTCACGGGGATGATGGGGAAACCACGGGGAAAGCTGTAGATTGTCCCTTGAAACAATCCATCGAATGGTGAGCTCAGTGAACTCTTAATCGGCCGACGAATACTTTCCTCGTGACCTGCTGGGGTTCAGCCGGTTAAGCTTGCGGCTTCAGATCGTTTACGGTTTGGAAAATCTCGTAACACCGCCTGGTGGTGTAGATTGAAGAAGGGGAGGGCCACCCATCTCTCGATCCTCGATCTGCTTGATAATCAGCGGTTAAGACCCCGTCAATTTTCATGTGAAATTGAGTGTGGTCATGAAGTGCTTAGCGCAGCTGAATGAAAGGGCTGGGGAAGCCGCGTATGTTCATGAAGATCCACAGAGCCTCCCGGTTGACTCGAGGGTATGCCTTTTCAATGTCATAAAGGCTTAGCTGGATGGTTTCCGTGGCCCGTGAGCGGGCAAACCTCCTCTGCTAAGCGGCGGCTGACTTGAAGAATGTCATCGAGGCCGCGGCTACGACGAAAACCCTGTTGCTCTTCATCAATGAAGGTCTCGGAAGACTGCTGAATGCAGCTGGCAAGAACACTCGCTAACACCTTAACACCAGAGGGCGAGGCCGTTAATTGGAGATTACCATGAATATATGGGACTTAGATGAAAACAAAACAATGACACTAATTAAGAACAACAATAATAATGATGAACTACTTCAAGGTGATGTAAATATATAAAATGAAATGTCACCAACATATTTTGCTTACTAGCGTATATTGGTATTAGTATATCATCTATTACAACATGATACAAGTAGGTGTTACATGGTGTTACTATATGGTTATGAGCCACTTAATTTCTGGGATGCACAAATCAAGCAGGGCATTACTATGAATGCATGGGATGAACTAGGGTTGATTGGAGATTACCACGAAGATATGGGACTTTGATGAATATAGGGGATCAACGGCAGGGCTCCGATAGGGAATGGATTACTAGGAATACAAATAGCTATATGTAAAAAGAAATAGGGGGGCTATATGTGAACACTTCAAGCTTACCTAAGTCGACTTGAAACTTGTTTAACTAGTTTTTTTGGGGGAATATAACTATAGTTAATTGGTTTTCAGTTTTCCATGAAAAATGACGGAACTAACCAATAAACATGATCAATTGTGGTTACTCAATGGGATTATTATACTGGGATTGCCTGTGGTATGGGGCATGGAATTAAATCAAATTATATAAGCCACCAAAAATAATTGGACATGGTGATTCAATCAACAAACTACTGGTTTAAGTAAGTGGTTTATGATAGACAAATTTGTTCATTTACCAAACAAATAGGTATCCACCAAAAATGGCGACTTCACCGGAGGAAACTGCGATGGAACCAACAAACATAGGGGGATTTGCGGGCATGTTGACTTAGTTCACTGGGTTTTCTATGGCTTATCGTGGATGTATCTGTAGGATTGGGTTATAAACCAACAAACATAACCTGGCTGGTTGGTGGTATACCTACCCCTCTGAAAAATGTGACTTCGTCAGTTTGGATGATGACATTCCCAATATATGGAAAAATAAAATTCATGTTCCAAACCACCAACCAGCTGGGGGTCACAAGTGGTATAGTATGCTGACATGCGATGAAAAAAACCACATGAAAACCGAGGAAAATTATCTACAGTATAAATACTTGCCGACAAGTGAAAAAGGGGTTTCCCAGCAAGGTATTGATCAGTGGTTTTACCCGCAATTCACCCAAGGGATCCCAATGATGGTATCTCTGAGTGAGTCATTGGGATTTTCTGGGATACTTAGCTTAGAGGTTTCAGCCGTTGACCAACCCACGAGGATCGGATCCAATGGCCTCCTTCAACTTTTTGAAACCGGGCTTGTTACCTGACTCGCCCTCTAACATGCTGAAGACATGTAGCTGCACCTGCCGGAGACTAACAAAGGGTCAGTTGTTGTTTAGGTCACTGAACCCGAAGATGTTGATCATGTTCAGTATTCAGTTCAACCGTCACGTTTCCTACTTGCTTTTCTTAAACTACCCTCCAGTTAATCACCATCACACGTCTCATTTGGGGGCTTCCGAAAATAGGGATACCCCAACAAAACATATAGGTATTCCCCATCGGAAATCACCAAATTTTCATAGCACATTCTGATAATCAAACGACAGCTTGTTGGAAAATCACCTGTTTAGATCGATCATGTTATCATATTCCATGTACAAAAATAACGATCCATATAATGTGGTAAACCCAATACTAAACAATCCCAAAATCACCAACAATGGCTATAAACCATCCCACATGATAGGTGTATTATTGCGTTTCCCATATTAAATATTACTGCATGTATATACATATAAATATATATATATATATATTACTGGTTGGTGGTTTTAACCATCTTGAAAAATATGAGTCAATGGGAAGGATGACATCCCATATATTGTAGAAAAAACATGTTTGAAACCACCAACCAGTATATATCCACCATCTGGATCCATCTGGCATATCCAATCATATCCATTTCATCCATGTCCTTCACTTGTCCATGTATATATATAAATATATAATATAATATATTTTATTGATTGATATTGTATGATGCCCATTTAGCTCAGGGATTTCCCCAGGAACCGGTGGTCCCACCTTCTTGTTACCTTCCACCTCCACCACCAAAGGCTTGGGCGCTTCCAAAAAGACCTGGCACGGTCCCAGCACCCTGACCCTCAGTTGACCCATGAAAATTGGGCTAGAAAAAAAACATCCAAATTATATAACAAACATACATATATATATATTTATATTTGTAATATATATATAATATAATATAATATAATATAACATAATATAATATATTAAAGATAATATAATATAATATAATATAATATAATATATTATGATATATTATAATATAATATAATATATTATGATATATTATAATATAATATAATATAAAAAATATATTATATATATATATATATTGAATATATAAATATATATAAGGAAAAATATGTTATAATATATATATATATATAACATTATATATATAATATAACATTATATATATATTATATGAAAATAAAATATAAACATATAATATTGTCTAATATATAAACATAATATAATATATATATATTATTTAACATATACTCTATATATATATTATAATATTTAAAAATATTTGATATATATTTAATATATAATATAATATATATATATATATATTATAATATATATATATATAATTATATAATAGTAACAACAATAATAATAACATATTATATTATATATATTATATTATTTATATATATTATAATATATATATATATGATATAATATATATAATAAATAATATATACATATATACATATATATAATATATATATAAAATATAATATGATATAATATTGTTTGTTATTGTTGTTACTATTATATAATATTATTATTACATATTTAATTATATATATATATCCGTAAAAAATGGTAAATACATCTAAATACCAGCATTTGTAATCTACAATTGCCGTGGGTAAATTTGAGGGTGAGGGTTCTGAGAATATAACCAGGTGGAATCGGGGAATCAAACAA